CCCTTCATATGCTATCTCTCGTGGGCTGCCAATCCCGTTTTTATTATGACTCAATCGTTCGTATCTTCCGTAAACCATGGCGCTTTGCAATATGAGCGGCGTCGTTTTCTCGACAAATGCAGGAGATTCCCATAACGACGGCAACCGGAATGAAATCTTTATAGCTTATTGAACCGAGCGATATCCAGCTTCGATCGCCACGTTCTAAAAAAGAAGTTACTTGTAATCGATAGTCAATCGATAGTCATCTTCTCTATCTTAAAATTTTTCTGACGAATATATATGTGCCGGCATTCATAATCGGTATTTAATATTTAAAGTTGTCTTAAGTAAAATCTTAACCCAATAAACACAAAGTAATATATATATATATATATATTTAAATAAAATTATAAATTAAATTTGTGAGTGGTGTATATTTTTTTATTCGATTATATATTATTCATAAAATATATTAAAAATATTTATTACATAAAAACATATTTTCTATTTGATTTGTGAGTTATGTGACGTTGTGACAAACTATACATTTCTACTATTTATATTTAATCTTGAACCTTTGAATCAGTTCAGAATTTTCAAGCGCGTTAATTATATGGGCTTATCTGCAGACCGCACATTCGTAAACATACGCGACCATTATCGTTTCTCTAACATTAGTAGCCATTATTTATGTCAGCTTATAAACATGATCGATAATTACTAAATAATTCGTAACATTTCTCGATTTCTTCGACATTATTTTATTTTTTAAACTAGTGATGAATTCAATCACTTGCAACACATTGGATTAATACACATTAAAAAGATTACTTTATATAAAATATCTGAATGCAGTAGCATAATATAATGAACTATGACAATGTGAAACGATACATATCTATACAATATTCTATTTATTAAATAACGATGATATCATTACTGAATATTTAATTGTTCAAAATATTTATATGCTTTTAATTTGCGTTTTGCTAATTTCATCATGTGTAGCGTTTTTTGATATGCATTATTTTAGTATAATGCAAGTGATCGAATTCGCTATAATAAGATTTTGCATCTAAGATATTACACCTTCGAACAATGTTTATACATTATTGTGCACAGTATTATACTCCAATAAAGAAGATATACCATAAAAAAAATTTATCTTAATTTTATTAGATATCTGTACTCGCCAAAGACACAAATTTTTAATAGAATCAATGGCCTTATCGTAATTATTTATATATAGATAAGCGCATTCTCTTCTTATAGTTGAAGGGCTCCCTAAATAAACGTTGCAAACATTTTTATAATAATATTTACATACAGTGATTTTTATTGAAAAGTGATACAGTTTCAATGGAAAAACACGCGCGTTATTTGTATTTGTTATTCTTTTTATTTCCTGCAAAATTTAAGAAATGTTGGATGCAACGTTCTTTTCGGGAGCCCTTTAATTTTTTCAAAAACAATTAAACAATTCGAATTACTTCGCGATAAATACATTATTCGATGAGAGTTCCTTGATGTTTTGTATATTTTTTCAGGCGTCCGGGGTGTTGATGTTATGCATCGGCATATGGATGCGCATCCAGCTGCGAGATTACATGAATATGAGCGTGCAGGGCAGCGGAGCCGCTCTACTATCACTTGCGAGTTTAGGTGCGGTATTAGCGGTCGCAGCGGTCCTCGCTTGCTGTTGCACCGCACGCGGTCATCCTGCTCTCCTGTATTTGGTAGGCATTCGATCTATTTCGAAGTTTAGAAATCTATTATGATTTCATAATACAATTAATGATCCACACAAAGAATCAGCATACAGAATACATATTGGAATAGACACACGTGTGTCTGTATGTACACACCCACGCATATAAGATTATAAATAGAATTCCGTCGTGAATTAAAGTAGGTTTCAGGTCCCTCAGGAATGACAGGATAAAGTTACAAATCGATACTCGATGTGATATCATTATGTAAGGGGAAAGAGACTCTTGAAGAGAAAAACGATACTTGTTGCGTTTTTGCAGTATTATTATAGATATATTAACAAATTATATCGTAAATGTAAAGTTGCAAATCTGCGACACTTGGAATCATTTACAATTTATATGCCGATCAGGGAAGATGACTTTGACCTTGATATATGTTGTCAAGATCATGACCCTGAGTGACCTCCAAGAGGTTTTAGCCATTGCTCGTTATTCGTTAAAAATGTTATTAACCAAAAAAATTTAAGAAACAACGTCTTATTTCTGCTATACAATATTAAAACTACTCCATATTCCCTCTATTAAGGGGCGTTGGATTTTCTACTCGAAACGAATTCCACCTTCTCTCTTATCTAGGGGTGCACTTTCCACGCGAAGCGAGGTCCCCACCTGCCCTTTGCCTAGTGACGTATGAGACAAGGAGGAAGGTGGGGATGGACCTCATTTCGCATGAAAAGTCTGATGTTCCTAGACGGATCGAATGCGGAGTAGTTCTTGATATTGTATAAAGCAGAAATAAGACATTATTTCTTAAACTTTTTTTGTTAATCATTTTTTAACGGAAGACGAGCGACGGTTCTTAAAGGTCACTCAAGGTCATGACCTTGACAACATATTTCAAGGTCATCGGAGCGATCTACTCTGACTGGCATATTTCATCATTTCTAGAAGTAGAGATTCCCTGAAATAATTGATTTAACTTTATAATTTTTTTCTTTTCGTTTGCGTAGTACGGTGCGTTTCTGGCCGTCGTAGCCTTACTGGAACTCGGAGCTGGCGCGTCAGTTTACGCTTATCGCACGAGCTTGAACGAGGGATTTGATCAAGGTCTGAATGAGAGCATGGCTGCCTATGGACAGGACAATTCCAAGAGCAGTCACATCGATACCATGCAATCAACTGTGAGTATCTCAATGTAGTGTTCTATTCACTTTCAGTTATTCCGATTGTTCTGTCAATTGAATGTCGATTGTTCGAAATTGAACGTTCGTATTTCACTATACGGGAGGAATTACGACAGACAAAGAGATAAAAACTTGCTCATTTTTCATTCCTCGCGACACAGTTGCGTTGTGTCGTATATTTGAAAAAAATTAATCAATTACAGTTGCATTGCTGTGGGAATCGCGGTTATGCTGATTGGCTCAATTTGGATCCGTCGAAGGACGTTCCCTTATCCTGTTGCAAAGTGATACAGAATAAATGCGACACATCGGATGTAGAGGACATTTATACCGAGGTACATATTTTATTAATTACCTAAATTTTTGCAAGACAGAGAGAGAGAGAGAGAGATAAAAGGGATAGAAAGAAGAAAAGAAAAATATTTTACTTACATCAGGATGCAACATAGTGAATTATTAACATGTTCATTATCTTGGTTTATTTATAATGGGCGCCTTAATGATCATTGATGATGAACTTTTATAAAATGAAATTTTATAAAAGACACTTGTAAAAAATAAATATCTAATATAAATTTTTGAATAATGTGACTAGTTTAATATGTATAAAATACAATTAAACGTATATTATCTATCAGGATTATTTAATTAGTTTTATTTAATTGTTAGATAATATTTTATGTATTATATGCATATTTTTAATGAAAATTCTATTGTGACGTATATAATAACAGTAAGCCATAAAACTTATTGAGCAGACGTGTTAAAATCTTGATTGCTATCTCATAATTGACAATTACAATCCGTAAAAGAAACTAAGAAAGGAATATTAAACGCAATAGAAATTTTTAAAAATATAATGAATAAAGAAGATAGAAAAGAGAAAAATTAATATGAGAAATCGAAGTCAAATCTAAGCAGTTTTTTCGATTTTTTTATCTCTTGTTTTTTTGGGGGAGTTTCTACACTTTTTTTATAATTCCTTTTCACAGGGATGTTACAATCGCTTACTGGATCTCATAAATAGCAACATCGGTCTGGTGGCCGGTACGGCGATCGGCGTAGCTTTTTTCCCACTAGTCGGTATCTTCCTAGCATGCTGTCTAGCCAGCAATATCAATAAGGCCGAGTACGAGCAGGTTGCTTAGGCATGGCACTTGCGCAAACTGCAACGACGGTCCTATCAGAAAACAAAGCCTGTATCGCTAACGACAACGGCGAACATATATGATTTAATGGGAACGCGGAAATGATCTCAATCGAGGCAAGCGCGCACTTTACCACTTCGGTTTTAGTTGACGATTTGGTACGAAAATTGATTAAAAATTTATAGTATAAGGTCCATTTGTATATGAAGTTACATCTAAAATGGATCTTATACATAATTATGTATTTGCATAATTCTTGTATTGATTTTTGTTGTACTTGAGCCCTCGATCAAATTCGTGCTTTCATGTTCTGATCTATGAATCATTCTAATCAAGATTAATATAAATCGATAATGTTATATCAAAGTATGTTTACTTAATACCGTTATAAGATGTAATAATCTTCTCATACATTTAGAATTTATTTGAAGATTAATCTTCAAATATATTTCATACAACAATTAAAATGAACATATACAGATCTTAATATATATAGTACTTAAGATCTTTTAAATAAAGCATCTACAAACTAACATGTTAAACAGAAGAGAATACGAAATATACTGAGACTAGTAGTCTCTGATGAACAAGTTTCTTTTGTTCAGACTTTTCACTTTAAGATGTTAAGTATTGAAGAAAGTATGTAATATGATTTATGAAACTTTTTTAACGTTAAAAAACGTATGAGAGACGTCTAGATTATTGAATAAAACATGATGACATATTCCTTTACATGAGAGGATTAAATAATTTGTTGTAGAATGCGAACGGCGCATGACTAGCATTTTTACGAATCAACAGTAAAAATATGACTTGATTACTGCTAACTTTAAAAATATCGAATCGCATTCACATTGTACAAACTGAAAAAAAATTTTGATTTAAATAAGTTCTAAAATTTGGTGAAAGTCAAATAACGTATGTATAATATACAATGTGTGTACATATACAGGGTGGGGCATTTTTATCGCCCCAGGCGAATATCTCAGAAACTAAAAGAGATACAAAAAAAATTTTATATGAAAGTTGTTAATGCCGGCGATTAATACTGTAACTTTCAAGTCTCATCCAAAATCCGTTATTTCCATCTTCTTTCCCCCAAGAAAACCTACAACTTTCATATAAAACTTTTTCTTGTATCCTCTTAGTTTCTGAGATATTCACCTGGGGCGATTAAAATGCCCCACCCTGTATATATATAACATATATTACGTATATATGTATATATACATACATATATATGAAAATAGAATAAAACACAAAAATATGTTGACAGTATAAATTATTATTTTTATCAATAGAATCACAATGCGAAGAATAGTTACGATAGAGTTTATTTCACGAATGCCTGTGTATGACAACGATATGGTGCGAAAGATAAAACAAACTTCTACATATTTTAATATTTTATGAATCTTTAGATGTAGCAACGACTTTTTCTCTTCGGATCTTAGTCTCTTACAAACTCCTATTCCATAAGTCTTTAAATCCTTTTGAGTCTTTAAATTCTTCATACTCTTAAATCTTCCATACTTTGCATTTGCAATCCACTAACATTCTTACAAATTCTATATATTCTATCATTCTATATATAATATTATATAGAACCACATATATTAGCTATATTTCATATCATCAGTCTTTAAATATTTAATCATGATTCATCGTGCGCTTTAAAATCGTGGCTATCCTTATTATCCATATAAATTGGCATTCGATTTTGTATTGAAAAAATGAAACTTAAATCAGACAATCAGCAGAATCAGTATTAAATATTAAATAGAAGTAACGTATCTATTTTGAGTTATTATCGGATGAAAATAGTGAAACAAACCAATATTTCTTTACTATAAAATATTGCTTTATGTTCTATGTATAAAAAATAATATGAGAATTAATTTAATTTAATATAAATATTTAATTTAGTTTTAGCTTTTTTGCTGTGAAATTAAAAAAGAAATATATATAATAAAATAATAAATAAAAATAAATATAACAGTCGAACGTAACTTATGAGCATAATTATGCAGTCTTCTCAAATAAATGGCAAGACATAAATATTAATTCGTTTGAAGGTATAAATAGTGTATTCTTCAAGCAAATGGTTGAAGAGCATTGATATTATAAATAAGATCCCTCCATACCGAAACATTCAAATATTCAATTAACTTTGTATTATATATTTGTATAATTCTTTTCTTGAAATCAAATGAGAATAATAATTCAACTAATTTGAATAGAAATTTATTTAATTTATTCGGAAGAAAAATTGAAAAGAAATATTCCAAATAACATAAAATCTACAGAGAAAGATAAAAAAAAGTTTAGTCCAATTCTGTGATATCTTTCAAACTTTTTTGCTTTTTGAACTCTTTAAATAACTTGAAAATCTAATCTAAAAATATCTCAAAAACCTTTAAAAAATTTAGACATTGATTATTCAAATATTTTTTAGACTTTTGTATCATTTATTTACATTGGTAAATTCAAATATGATCCACTTATCTTTCTTTACAATTTTCACATCAATAGTGATTCCAGCAAAACATTAGCATTATGCATATGTGATATTAATTATCGAACAAAAAACAATCAAAGTTTATTACTGAGACTACTGACAATTATTCCATGACAATTATTTTACAATTATTTTTTATATATAAAATAATTGTTACGAGAAAAAATTCCACATTTATATAAGTGATTGTGGTTATATATAAACATTTTATTTCTTGAGAGAAGATTAAGATGTAATGTCCTACTACAAGAAAAAAATTCGATTATCTGTTATGACTGTTATATCATCATATTTCTATATATATATATATATATATATAATCAAAGTTGAAATATAAATAACAGTCATTGTGTTTACACTGTGGAAAGATACATATATACATATATACTATAGAATTTCATATGTAAAATAAAAAAATATCTTATAGAATATATACATACACATACATATACAATGTACATATATACATATGTATATGTATATGTACGTATATTCATTTATTTATTATAGAAATTTAATGTATACAAAGTAAGACACTTAACGTGATCATTTTTTTCTATTTCTATTAGAAAGAAATAAGAAAAATACTAAACTACTCCATTTTGAAAGACATTGTTACATTGTTTTTGTTATACATATATTACTATATATTTTTTGTTACATTGTCTTATGTATAACTAAATATTATAATTCAATATAATCATTAAAGTATTTCATAATACATTATTAATAAAAATATCAAATAAAATTAAACAAAAACAAACACGTTAATTGTCTAACTTTGTACTATATAAATTATGTTATGAAAAATATATTACAGAATAAAAATTATTTTATAGACTATATATTTACGTTTAGGTATGGTACGTAAAGAAAGAGGTCTAACGTAAGCCTTATTTACAAATATTCCCCAACTATTCTCTGTAATGCGATGTCAAGGCTGTATCGAGGATGTACATTGCGCAAACTCGTAGCCGAATCGATATCTAATTGTTTACAATGTTACAGCTTTTATGTATGTTTATTGTGTATCACAGAATATGTGCATTTTGCACAAATTTTGATGAGCCTTAAATAAAAGTCAATGAAACATCATGTTTTCACTAATTGCCTAATAAAAATCTTTAAACCAATATTTCTTAAGATATTTTCTAAATTTTTATTTTAATAATTTTATTGTTGCTTTTTATGTGATTTATTGATCATTATTACTATTCTATACAATTAGAATTTATTATAACTTTTACTCTCCTATTTATTTTACAAAATAAATTTATATTCTTTTTAATAAATTTATATTTATAGAGAGAGAGAGAGAGAGAGAGAGAGTTAGTTTTGTTATTAATAATATATGTATACTCTTATATGAGCATGTATAATAAAAATGATGACATATATTATACAATAATGATTAAATATATAAAAAATATTTATAATTATAATTATATAATTCTCCTACCTATTCTTCACCTCCTTTCTATTACATTATTCTCTCTTTTAATATACAAAAAGGTATTTTTTATTAAAGGGAATAATAGAAATTTATATTTCAAGATTTCTTTTTACTCTGGAATGACCTGGAACACCTGGAGATAGTCCCGTGGCTACTTTGTAAATTTAATAGCGAATTCGGTTGGACGCAGTAGTGCATATTAAAGCTATTGTACACTGATTTATGCCTGTATTCATAATCCTTATATTTAAAGCTTCCTTAAGTTCATCTTTAGATGCTTAATAAAATAATTATATTGTAAATATTATTTGTTATACATTCTTATAGTACAATCTAATAATAAATTAACTAGAACCCTATATCGGTCGAAGCTAGATCTTGAAATGCATAAATAATTCAATCTTGAATCACTAAATATGCTATATATGTATTTTTTCCAGCAAAGATGTTAATATGCTGAATTGAGAGCGTTGTGTTATGACACCGGTTATGATTAAGATGTATATATGTACTATACATTAAATATACATTGAAATTGTAAGTATAATTAAAATAATGATTTATGCAATATTAACTTAAACAATTAGCATATATCTATTATCTGTTTTAATAATTAACATATGTTATAAAAATGAATAAAATGTGGATAGGGACATTAATATATTAAAAACATCATAAAATATTAATATTATCAGATTAAAACAATATTATAAGAAAAAAATACTAAAAAACCAATAATGATTTCAAACAGACAAAATTAAAGCTAACAATATATATTTAATAATTAATTCAGTGAACAAGTTGGCTTAAAAACACACCAATATAGGAATAGTTATAGTTACCCTATACATTCTAAGTGCATTTGCTTTGACACTCACAGCACTTGTAAACATCATTTGTTCTTTATATTTTCATTTTTGTTGTTTATCAAATATAAAAACATCATTGTTTATTTTAAACGCATTGAATATGTTTATTTTAAAAACGCATTGAATATTGATATTGAAGATTGAAAGATTGAAATTTGACCAATCAAAACAATAGGAGCTAAAATTTCTTTGTCCTCACTGGTCACATTTTAATCTTCAATCTTCAATCTCAATCTTCAATGCGTAGTCTGATTCCGGCCTAATGCTGGATTCACACTGCATCCTTCGACGCTCTGCATCCAATCAGAAAACAGGATTCCGATAATACGAAGCAAAATTCATCGGAATCCTGTTTTCTGATTAGTTGCAGAACGTCGTACGACGAAAATCGGATGCAGTGTGAATCCAGCATAAGGTACATACTTTCATGCATGCTCCAAGAAAAAGGTGCACACCGCAAACAATTATGACACGTGCAAGTGCAATCTTTGTACATCTGTGTACATTCAGACAGTTTTACTGATGACGGTGATGGCACGCGAGAGTGAC